CTGTTGTTCTGTTGCAACACTTTGATTAGGGTCGTTACTTGAGAAGGCATCGCTTTGTCGAGTAATAATCCCTAAGTCGGCATTTTTACCTTGATAGTGAAAATGCGGGATATTACACCCTCACCATGGCAAACCTAGATTGAAGAAATCCAAATGCTCTCTCGACGTTCTTCTCATGAAAATTTTAATTTCTCATTGTACACCGAAATGTCTGCAAAATAATCCGCCACAATCCTTAAGCTGCCACCATGAATGTCTTAATGAACTACCTGTCGTCCATGGACTAATCCACAACGCCTCTGCTTCCTTCTCTCGTGTTCCTCCTCCCGTGCAATCAAGCTCAAGATAAGAGCTTCATCATCGTACCCATCATCTCCCTCGAAGAATTGGTTTAGAATGTTGTCCTTGTCGTCATCAAGCAGAACCACTACAGTGCTATCGTACATATGAAAATAACACAATTTCACACAATTGATATCAAGGAGGGTGTTGGGCAGTGCAACATACCTTATATTGTAGTAGGGCGTCGGTGGGGAGGTGGCACCTAGGGAGGACGAGGAGGCATCGCCAGTGCGGCTCATGGAGAGAGGATAGGTCAGGGAGGGGGCTCCGGTGGGCATTGACAAGGGGCCTGGGGCAGCCATGGAGGCGGGTGCCGGCTAGGGGTGGTTGGATCCGATCTCACCAAACTTGGAGACGCCGGTGGCGACAGTGGAAGGGCCTGGCGACAGTCAACCTTGTGGGGGAATTTGGGTGGCAATCTATTGGGCCAGCAGAGATGGGTAGTGGGAGGGGGAATTAGGGTGGTGTCGGATACCACAAGAAGGGGTACCCTAAGCAAGAAACAAAAATGTTGCTTAAACCTTGCAAAAATCAAAGCTAAAAGACTACCGCCAGGTCTCTGCAGAATTCTCCGATTCGCTCGAGGCCTTGCGCCGAGGCCTCATACGAAAGGCCAAAAGCGCCCCGCCAAGGCCCTCTCGCCGAGGCCTCGCCCCGAAAGGCCTCGGATGGGATGCCAATTCTCCGATTCGCTCGAGGCCGGGCTCGGCAAACATACTCGTAACCTCCGTCCCCGACCAAACTCCTCGACGAAACGTCACGTCCAGATTAATCGCGCCTAACTTCTCCATAAACATCACCAGACTTCAGTGCAGTCACAGACGAGCGAGCCACGCCGACGGGACGGGGGGGTAAGGCGCAACAGGGTTACTACGCCACTATGCTCATCATCATGCTACCTAACCCCATGCCAAGGACAAAGCAGCATGGAAGGTCAAATCCATGTCCTCAGTAGTCTCTAAACCGCAGGAGAGCCCAACTGCTCGTTTTCGCCTCGTCCGAGACCCCGGCGGGTCTCGGGCGTATTATTCCTTCTCCGCCTCGGCCGAGGCCGGCTCAAATCCCACATCCTCGTCGTCTCCGCCTCAATCGCCCCTCGGGCGGGCCGTCCCATCCGTGTAAGTACCCACTGTTGCGCCTACGTCAGCCACGATTGGCAGGGCATAACAACAGGGGCGATGGGACGGAGGTCAAATCTCCTTTTTTACCATTCCCCACTGACGGTGCAGGGACTACCGTGCTTTGCGGACACACGCCCTGCATTTTTCCACCTAAACTGGGTACGACGCTGACCATCGAGACCACCGCATCGTACTCAGGTCACCTCCCAGGCCTCGGCAAATCAGGCCTCGGCGCGGTCGGCCACAAACACTTGCCAGGCCTCGGCGAACCACCAAGTCAAAAATTCACAAGGCACGGCATGTCACCTACAGAGGAGGCCATGCTGACTAAACGTCAACGAGGACCCCTACGACTTCAACAGCCTCAGGCATGGCCGGCATGACGCACCAGTGATCAAGTACTAATTGCCATTCCCGACACTGTGCTGCTACAGGAATAGGCCACAGTACTGGATCTTCCTTCCTCGCTAAGGCTCCACGTGTAGCTCTCTCATGTACTCCTGGCTCCCTCCTTGTGGCTATAAAAGGACTATGGATCGAGACCACGCCGGCCCTCATGCGTAAAACGCACTCACTCAATTCACGCACGCTCCCACGCTGCCTGAGAGCAACGACTCAAGCAGCCCGCACCACTCCACGCCGAGACCTGGGACTAGCTCCCTCTCTCACCCAGCTTGTAACCCCCTACTACAAGCACTTCGGTGCAAAGAATACAAGATCGATCTCCTAGACTGGACGTAGGGCACCGATTGCCTGAACCAGTATAAATCTTGTGTCTCTTTGCATCACCATCCGGGATTAGGGCCACGCAGTTCATATTTACTGGTTGGTTGAGGACCCTCCGGTCCGAAACACCGACTGGTGGCATAGTAGTATGATGGAGTGAGATCTTCCGCTTCACTGTTTAAAAATAGACTAGAGACCCTGTTTAGACGATAGCCTGATGGCCTAAAGTTGCTGTTACATTCTTTTTTTCCCACATATACTAATAAATGTTAGGTCGGAGGCGCTAATCAGTGTGTCACTTCATTGTCCCTGTTCGCTTCTCTCATAATCCGTCCTTTTCAGTTTGTTTTTCCAGCTGTCGAAACAGTGTTTTTCTCTTGCAACAAATTAGTCGAAACAGTGTTTCGCTTTATTTTTTTAGCGAAGCGAACGGGGCAATTGTCGTCTCTTTTCCACAAATAGTACTTCAAATCGTCCATTTGCTGTTTCTCGTCGTGCTCAAGCTCACCGGGCCATGCCAGGTCCCAAGCAGAGGTGCAGTACATGGCCCTGTGACCTGTACCGTTAGTATTAGCCTGTCGCAGGTGGTGCATATATACAGGTCACGCTTTTCTACCTCTGTTGTGAACGGCCCTGCCAAAAGAAAAGAGAAAAAAATCTTGGTGGCGCAGACGCTTTTCATAGTTCCTCTGCACCTCTGGACCGAGATGAACCAAAGAACAAGGTAGACGACATCGAGTAAGTCCCGTCCGGCCCGCGAACCTCCATAGGATGATAGAAAATCTAATAAACTAAGCTACACTTAGTTCACTAATATAGTATCTACTTAACGAAATTCTTGACCAAAGCTATACTTTACTGGTCTCATTTGAAAATACTAGGATTTGCAAACCTATAGACAACACTAACATTGTTAGCACTCATCATAGAAGCAATTGACACGTGAAGCTCCTGATTTTTTCTTGATTGTCTATACCTTTGATTACAAGCTGTAGTATCTGAATTCACGCGTCAACTCACACCACACGCACGCACCCTAACACACTCACACACCCTAGTGCGTAAGCTAGACCTGTAACCTACATCTAAAGCTAAAAGTAGATAAAGCTACCGCAGCACTTACAATGTCATGATATTCTAGCTCTGCATTAAAGGGGGAACTATGGTCTACCATTTGGAGGGCCTCAACACCATGGGCCTTGAATGCTCTTAGCCTGGCCCGTATGTGTCAACCAGCATGAGCCGAGCATGGTTGTATAGCTGCAGGTGCTAGAGGTTTTTTTTTTTGCATATATGTAGAGCTAGACTGGTTCTTTTTGAGAGACATTGTTTGGTAGCCTATGCAAAATAAATGACTCGCATGCTCATTGACTCCATGCTTGCAGTATGTTCAGCTTGGCTTATGAGAAACGAGAATTAATCTCTAGGGTCTGTTTCTTTTCATGCACTGAGCTGGCCAGGACGGATGAGTAGAGCCTGGTATTCCAGACAGGCCAGATTGGTGCAACTCCTTTTGCTTGACGGACTTGTATCTGTTGGGCCTGGTCTGTACAAATGTTGTTTGTTCGCCTGCGCTGCGTTGGAGGGCCCACACGTCAGCCACCCCCACTCACCACCTACGCACGCGTTGGAGCCTGAGCGAGCCACGCCCGTGAGAAACGAATTCGTTTCCCGTGGCCTGGCTCTAGGATGTTTTAGATTTTGTGCTACATAGACTCTCACACAGTCTAGGCAAACAAACAAGTCGAGTTGCACCATCAAAGCATGTCCCAAAAGGTCGTCAAGGCAATCAAACACGACCCTAGCGTTTCGAGCGAATCTGGCTCGAGTTGTACGAATGCATGATGGGGACCTGGAGTGCTCGACGAGGCAACCAAACAAATTGAACTTTGCATACATTGAGTCTGGGGAGCGGAGATACATGTAACCAATCACACCCCATATTATCGTGGTAGCTTGAAGTGGAACACCAGTCTACAGAGCCCTAGAGAATATATAAATAATAAATCATTTAGATTTCGTTCAAGAATAAAAGAAAAAGATAATTGTTGATCAGAATATGGCAAGTCAAATGGAAAACGTGCATGTAAACTAGTCACAAAGATACTACTCCCTCTATTACAAATTATACATCACTCTGATTTTGTTATAATTATGAGTTAAACTCTTTTTTAAATACACCAACATCCAACATCATTTTAGTTTTAATAATTTCACAAAATACGTCTTGAGAGTGAATTTATTTGATATTAATGTATTTTTCAAAATTTGGTCCAGATTAAATAAGTTTGAATTGAACATATATAACCATAATAATTTAAGACGGAAGAGGTAGATATTGACCATTTGTTCTTAGGCTCAATGAAGCCCACAAAGCCTGGAGGCCAATAGTACAGGTCATGTGGATTCTGCCCGGTTAAACATCAAGGCCGAGGCCCAGCACGCAAGCCCACGCAGAGGCAAGCGTGCGGTGGAATTGGTCTGGAAGGCAAAGGTGACAGCTGTTAAAAGGCAATCGGTAACCAGGAACCACCTTCGTCGCCCCAAACCATTTCGTCTTCCTTGCTTCGACCGAAAGGGCGGGAAGGGAACAGAAGCAGCCGCGGCGACAGGAGGTGAGCTCTCGAATCGGAATCACCCCATACTGGTGTTCGACACAGACAAAGAGGAGTTCAGCTGGAAGAGCCCTCCTCCTGTGAGGGACAGAGAGATGAGGCTGCTTGAATTTCCGACCTGCGACCTTGGCCCGTCCGGCTGTCCGTCTCCAGGAAGAACAGGGCAACGCTAGAGCTCTGGTGTCTAGAGGATTACCAGAACAAGGTTTGGGTCCTCGTGCACCGGATTCAGTTGGCACTCCAACAGATGCCAGTTCTGCAGGATGAAGATCTTCGGATTCCAGCACTGGCTGTTGAGTTGTGACAGGAATGGGAATTTGCTGCGCAATTTGGGGCTTCCTAAGAGGGTGTTTGTCAGGCATGTGCTCAGAGAGAGCCTTCTTCAGCATCGGATGTTCCGGACGCCCAAGGTTGATGGTGCTATTGAACCACCTTTCTTCCATTGGCTGTGTAGTGATCCTAGCTCGTGATGACAATTTTCAGCATCTATGCTTTAAATGATGTGGTGGTTTCTATCGATGAAGCTTGACTGAAACTAGCTTGACTTCCAAGATCTCTGGATACTGCAGGGATAACAATCATGACTATATGCTTCTGTTTTTTCGCTTTTGGTTGTATGAAATTCTCAGATGTTTGCTGAAGTTTGGGACTGTGAATCAATGTGAGAGATTCAGGTGCTATAATTGAGTATTCTGGTTGCAGAGCATCCCTTTCTAATAATGCACCTGGCGATTTTCTATGAACTGAGAAATGCTTATCTCTTATTTTGGTAGAACTATGGAAGTGAAAGTTTGATTCTGCAGTCTGACTATTTCCGGGAATACGCTGTGATGAATTTTTGTGAATTTTTCACCATTTTTGTTACTTCTCTGGGAATTGCTGCCATATTTTTATCTCTTATTTTTTAAAGGACCATTGAATTGTTGCAAGAGTGCTAATTCATTGTGTTGATTTTTGTTTATTGTTCACTATTTTAGTGTCACCCCGAAACTCTGCTGCCAGAATCCTGAATGGAATGTGCTGCACATACTAGATCCACTTCTCAGTTTTTTTTGAAAGTTAACTACGGGGGGTGGGGGGGAGAGGATCCCCACCTGGACATTTTATTAAACAAAGTTTACACGGTTGTTACAGAGAGCATAGGGGGTACATGGGCGGAGAGTTTACATTCATTCAGATACATTTGCCAGGCATGAATGCTATCAGTAGTGCCGGCTTTCTTTAAGACAAGACGCTTTTTCCACACAGCGAGGTCCTCAGTAACGCGTGTGAGTATCTTCACTGTCGACGTCTGTTCACCCCGGAATATTTCTCCATTTCGTGCATCCCAGAGGAGCCACAAGAGGGTGAGCAATATTGAAGGCCATAACTTAGAATCGAGCCTGCGGGGAGGGCGGAGAGCCCAGACTTTGTCCTCAGAGGATGTACTCACTGCAGTCAGTCCCAGCACTGGCCAGAGTGCAGCAACAGATGGGCATCCGAAGAAGATATGCTGCCTGTCTTCCACGCTGTTGTTACATCGCCTACAGACGTCGTCATCAAGCACATGTTTTTGGAGGAGATTGGTGCGCGAACTCAGCCTGTCCTTGAAATATAACCAGGCGAAAATTTTGACCTTGTTCGGGACCGCCGAGCCCCAAATTTGCTTACTGATCGGGTCATCTTGTCCAGAGGAAGGGGCGAGCTCAGAGGAAGCATCTTTGGTACTGAATTTTTTTCTGGTGAGGAGCATCAGACGGACGTCGCTGGAGTCGTTTTATGGTAACATCGGGGGCGACTCCAATGGGAAGGAAGGTAGTTTTATGGTAATTAATAGAAAGTCCAGTGGCCAACTCGAACTCATGCAAGATGTGTTTAGCAGTTAGGATGGCTTGGGAGGAAGCACGAAGGAAGATAAGGGTACCATCGGCATATCGAAGGACCGGCGCAGGAGAGTTGTCGAGGATAGGGTGCATGAGATCCACACGGACGTCTTGGTGTTGGATCAAGCGGAGGAGGACGTTGGCAACAATGATGAAGAGATAGGGAGAGATGGGATCACCCTGACGGAGGCCATTGCGGCAAGTGATCCATTTTCCAGGGACCCGTTCAGGAGGATGGCGGACTTGCCCGTGGAAAGGAGGTCACTGACCCAAGAGCACCAGGTATCGGAGAACCCACGGCAAATCAAGATCTTGTGCAGACTATCCCAATTGACAGAGTCAAAGGCTTTGTGGAAGTCCAGTTTGAGGATGACGGAAGGGGTGTTTCTCTTGAAGCAGCAGTGGAGGAGGTCGGTGGCATAGGCGAAGCTCTCGGCACTGCACCGCCCAAAAACGAACCCAGTCTGGTCGCCGCCAATAAGCGAGGGAATAATGGGCTGGAGCCGGCTGGTTAGGACTTTAGAGAGCGCCTTAACAATACAGTTTTGTAGAGTTATAGGGCGAAAGTCGGCAGCCCCACGAGCTGAATCATTCTTAGGGAGGAGGATGATGTGGGAGCGATTGACCCGTTCGAGCTCGGCACTGCCAGAATGGAAAGCCTGGAAGATGGAAAGAATAGTCGGTGAGACGATGGGCCAAGTGAGCTTGTAGAATGAGGGGCCAAAACCGTCGGGGCCGGGGCTGGCTTTGTAATGCATATGCTGGAAGGCAGAGTGAATTTCAGCAGGTTCGAAAGGCCCATCAAGGAAATCAAGGGAGCGGGCTGTTCCAGGGTAGAGATGGTTCAAATCAAAATGCCAGACCGGTTCGCGCGCAGTGCCAAGGAGATCCGAGAAGAAATTAAAGAGGACCTGAGCTTTCTGATCATGATTGGTAACAATACATCCATCATGCTCCAGCAAATGGATTTTGTTACTGCAGCAACATTGAGTGGCGGAAGCATGGAAAAATCTTGTGTTTTCATCCGCCTCGATGGAAGCTCGAATCTTGCTTCTTTGCCTCCAGTAAAGAAGCTGTTCTTTAACCGTACGAGCGAGAATGTTAGTGACGATGGATCGGAGGGTAGCTTCAGCCCGGGTGAGGGTGCGATTTTCCTCAACAACATCAAGGAGCTTTATAACAATCTTGCAGTCAACTTCCCTCTGAGAGCAGGAGCCGCGATGCCTGCGCCATTCTTTGGCAACCGCTCTGGTGCTTTTTAGGTGCCGAACAAGAGCAGCAGTGGGGTGGGTAGGGGGGTTCCGAATATTCCAGGCTTCGGTGATAGAGGCAAGGAAGCTCGGAGGAAGGGACCAGCAGGCTGTTCGCTTGCTCGTATACGATCGTGGATTATAAGCTGGAATAATATTTTTCTCTCACACCAAACCAGTCAGCAGTAAATAATCCACGATCATTTACGGCCTGCCGAACAAGCTGCAGGTGTTGTCAAAATGGAAGATTTTAGGTTTGGGGATGGAAGTGGAAATTTCCACTTTGAGGGGCACATGATCGGAGGTGGAGCGGGTCAAAGACGAGAGGTTGGTATTAGGCAGGACGGCATCCCAAGCCAAGTTAATGAAGGCACGATCGAGCCTTTCAAGAGTGGGGATGTCACGTTTGTTGGACCAAGTAAAGTTCCTGTCAAGGAGGGGCAGTTCGATCAGGCAAAGGTCATGAATCACATCATTGAAAGCTTCAGCTTCAGAGCTATGAAAGTTGGGATTATTTTTCTCGGAGGCATATCTAATCATGTTAAAATCACCGCAGATCAGCCAAGGTGTGTCAGCAGGAGGAGCAAGGTTCTTGAGCTCAGCAAGAAAAGAAGGCCGCAAGTCTGGGGAGGCAGGAGCATAAATATTCGTGATCACAAGCTCCTGGTTAGTGTACATGTTCTTCAGAGAAGTTGACAAGGAGTAGTTAGTAGAACTGGAGGCAGTGCAGGCGAAGGAGGAGTCAGTCCAGGCAGTTAGAATTCCGCCCGTGGAACCATCAGCATCCAGAATACAGTGGGAATTTAGGCAAAGAGGGAGAAAGGAGCGAAGTTTGGTGGGAGTAGGAGAGGTAAGCTTGGTTTCCTGGAGAAGAACAATAGAAGGATTGGCAGACAGGAGTTCGGCAAGAACATTATCACATTTAGTATGATCTCCCAGGCCACGAACATTCCAGAAGACAAGATTGAAAGTTCTACCCATTCACTGGTTGGGCACCTTCACCGCTGAGCAGCGTCAACTCTTCTGTAGAGGCACCACACACGTTGGCGATGCCAACCAAGGCATGTATGTCATCTGAAGGCAACGAGGGATTCAAGGCCAGAGTAGACTTTGAGAGCGCCTTGCAAAGGCGCTTGGAGGCCCCTGCCAGATGGAAACGAGCAGCTTGCACCCGAGTGGCCTTCGCGGTAGGGTCCTCATAATTGGGGCCTTCCTTCTCCTGGAGGCGCTTGCTGCGGCGCAGCTTTCGTGCACTATCCACCTTCCGTTTCTTTCGTGCCCTACATTTGCGCGCCACCGACTCGTGCTCAGCATCAGAGAGGGAAGCATATTCATGAGCTGATGTAGCCCGAGCCGAGGTCTCATTGCACACCTTGCTGTCCATCTCGGGATCGAGCACATCATGTTGGCGAGCTGCTACCGAGCCCATGCCATCAGGGCAAGGGATAGGCTCTTTTGGACTAGTGTTCACCGAGTTGCTCTCGTTCACCGTAGCCCGTGCCACTTTGTATGTCGGTAGATGATCGTACCAGGGGAGAGCCAGAGGTTTAGCGCATTGGGTATTAGCGTGAGGGCCTTTGCACTGGTAGCTTCGGTGGCCGTTGCGAGAACATATCTTGCACTTAGGATCACGGCAGGGCTTTTACATTTTTACCATTATTAAGATTGGCGCTCATCCGATTATCACTCTTAGAATGACACTTACAACTTTACCAGATGAAAGAAGTTTGAGTTTCTAATTTACCACATTTGCGCATGTGGCAAGCTACGGTAGCCCCGACACGCTGGCGCCCAGTCAACATGGGCACATGAAATGTCCTTGTTACCCCTGTCTTGCTCCTCTCTCTCCATCTCCGACAGCGGGTCCCACAACACCGCTTCGCCAGGTGGGCCCACTCTCGTCGGCTTCGTCTTCCAGCTCCGGACTGGATGGGAGACAACCTGCCCAAGCACGGGTTGGAGGTGGAGTTGGTGCTGGCCACCAACTTGTTCCGGTGCAGATGCTTAATCGGACTAGTGGTAGTGGTTGCCACGGCTCAAGCACACACATACATGCATGAATGTGGAAGAAAGAAGACGGAGAGAGATGTGCAGCACAAAGTGGGCGAGGCCGCCGTCACCAACCTAGGAAGTGCGGGCGAAGTTCATGCGGCACGGGAAGCCGTCGTCGAGTAGACGACCTTGAAGCACGCGCGGTCCCTCGCCGACCCGGACTCGGCGTCGCCAGTACCGCCCGTCCGAGCCGCACTGGCGCGGTCACCGGCGGGCCCCGGGCGT